CTCTGCCAACATGATTCCAATACATCAATTCTTTTGTCTTCTTTTTGCATTGTCCAGCTTTCATATGCATATATGGCCATTGAAAAGACCATTGTTTGGATCAGGGACACCTTAGACAACTTTTTGTTTTAGAATTTTTAAAAGGTCTTTTGTTGCAGATTTGCCTAATGGCAACATGTTTTTGATCTCTTGTCTGCTACTCCCAAAGGTTGTTGACTGCTAACTCAAGTAGAATGAAATCTTTGACAATGTCAAGTGATGGTTGTTGTTATGTGCTGTGGAGTCAGTTCCGACTCATAGCAACCCTACACAGGGTCTTTAAGGGAGCAGAAAGCCTCATCTTTCTCCCACAGAACAGCTGGTGGTTTCGAACTGCTGACCCTGAGGTTAGCAGCCTGGATGGTAACCATTATTAATAGAATTGGTAATGACAGCCATTACTAAATAAAACAGTTGTGACTAAGGGTGACCCTGTGTAGGGTTTCCAAGGAGCAACTGGTAGGTTTGAACCACTAATCTTATAGTTAACAGTCCAGTGCTTATCCTACAGTACCACACCAGTAACCCATATATATTGATGGTAACCATTATCCTGGTGTGGCGCTGTGGACTATTGCACTAGACTGCAAAGTTCAGTCTGAACTGCAAGGTAGCAGTTCAACCTCACCAGCCACTCCTTGGAAACCCTTTACAGGATCTTTATGGGTCGGAACTGATTCAGTGGCACTGAACAACAACAACAAATTGTTGAACAAGGACTCTAGTGTAGGGTTGTAGGCCAAGTGCTGGGTTGCAAGCCTCAAGGGTGGCTGTTCAAACCCACCAGCTGCTTCTCAGAAACCCTATACATGGTCACTATGAGTCAGAATCAATTCCATGGAACTTAACAACAACATTATTAAACATAACTGCTCATATGAAATGTAAGATACATATGTGTGTGTGTGTGTGTGAGTTGGTTCCGACTCAGCGACCCTGTATAGGGTTTCTGAGAAACAGCTGGTGGGTTTGAACCAGCAACCTTGTTGTTTAAAGCAACCTAGCTGTCAAGTTCTTATCCTGTAGTGTCATATAATATATATATACATATACACACACATATATATACATATATATGTGTCTATATATATATATGAATTTACAAAGAAGCTCCACATATTTAGTAGAAAAATTCCATTATCTTTTAATTCCATGGTTCCATGACCTTTTTGAATTCTGCTTGTATATGAAGGTGCATATACATAGTGTTTGATATATATCAACTATTTACATTTCAAATATAAATATACGTATATGTATATACTCATACATAGAACTCAAGTATTGGGAAAAAGTACAATTCTGATATTCAAAATACAGTTCAGAAAGCAGTATATTATGCATTTATGTGTGTGTACATATGCATGTGTTTATGTGAGGGCTTCAAAAAGTTTGTGGAAAAAGGAATGGAATTTAAAGATAATGGAATTTTTCCACAAACTTTTTGAAGCCTTCTTGTATATATGTGTGTGTGTATATACCAATGCTGATGTTGTTAAGTGCTGTGGAATTGGTCCCACTCATAGCAACCCTGTATAGAGTTTCCGAGGAGTGGCTGGTGAGTTTGAATCACTGACCTTGTGGTTCAAAGTGACCTTGTGATCGAGTGCTTATCTTACAGGACTCTGTATATATATCTTATATTTGAATAATTTTGAATATTTTTTACTTTGTTTTCTTTTGAGTAAGCTATAATAAATCCTACATGAAAGAAAACTTTATCTCGAAACATTTTTGTTGAACAAAAATTGTTGGCTTCCATAATCCTCTGATGTAGCAGTTGCTCCATTGTGCTGAGAACTTTGAACTTGAAACAAAAACTTTTTTAAAAATTAAAAAGAATAAGGGTTTCATATATTTTAGAGTCAAACAATACTATGAGCCCACATCATGTAACACATAGAAAAGAAATGAGTCAAGAAAAATAATGATAGTGATGGGCATCGAGAGGGAAATTGGGATTCAAAAACTTCCACAGTGAGATGTCGGAGAAGAAATGGAGAGAGTGAAGGAGGGGATTGGCATCCGTTAGGTCGGGACCCTAGGATGTCTACCAATTGTTTCACCTGCTATGAGCATAATTGTGCTCCTGAATTATATTTTAAACCTTTTATTCTTCATAAGAGATGAAATAGAATGCAAGGGAAACTATATGTATTTATATGTAATCTAAACTCTGTTGGCATCTGTTTAGTGACTATAATTAAATATATTTCAAAGAACTTGAAAAAAAGAAAAAAAAATGTTGGCTTCAACTGTCTCTGTGGCATTTGGAGAACTTAGTGAAGGAATACACAGGTGCAATGACTGGTCAATAGGAGAAACGTATAGTGCCCCACCTTGGTCAGCTTCTTTGGGTCTCTGAACAGCCTTTCTAGCTACCATCGATTTCGCTAAACTCCTTTGGCAGTTTCAGTTACCCTAAGTACTGAAGTAAAATCTGACCCTTTTGAAATCTCTGGATACTCTCCAGGGTTTTTTCAGCCTTTAACAGATTCCTAATTTTCTCTCTATCCTCGCCAAACCCTGTAGACTTCTGTCTCTGCACTTCTTATTTGCAACACTCCTGGAGTCTGTTTTCCTGAAAAGCAGAACTGCCTTCTCTTTGTCTGGGAACTTGATTTGTCATGAAGAAGGATGTATGTCCACCGAAGCTCGTGAGAGCCAGAACTCTACTGGGCTGCCCTGTTTTTCCAGGTCTTGCAAGCTGTTGTTGCTGTTGACAGGGTTCAGTATTACCACTTTTCTAATCTTTTCTATTCTCATTTCCAACTTACACAGGTTTCAAATTTTGCTCAACTTTTTACTGTATATCCCACCTTGTTCCCTTCTCTTCCTCAAATTAAATAAGCTGGCAGGCTACAAGTAAAGCAAACCAGCAATTCCCTGACAACTCCAAACCATTCATTCAAACAAGTTAGCAAAATGAGGAGGCAGAACTGTCAAATTCACAAGACACTGGAGCAAGACGGAATTTGTTACCTGGCTATGTCTGCCTTCTTTGGACATGAATAGGTTTTACTCTTTAGCTTCAAAATGGGTAATCGGAGTTAAACAGGATATGCAAAAGATTTGTAACTGGGCTAGAAGAACAGGAGAAGTAAGAGACTCAAAGTTCTGTAGGGTATATAAACTTTTAATAGATTTCTGTTAAAATTTGGAATAAAATTAAGATAAAAAATGTAATTAAACTGAATATGCAGTACAAATAAAAATGTGCCAAATTTTTACTTGACTACACATTTCGCATTGTCAGACATTTAGTAACTTTTTAATATTAACTTGAATTTATTTCATTTAAATATTTTGATTATTTGTAGCAGTCTTCCAGTAACATAATTAATTCCTTCCCTTCATCAAAAGTCTGTAATGAATTATTCTTTCAACTAAAGATTTTGCCCTCGCATGATAACACTATGTTTAAAATTTGAAAAACAAATGCCTCTCTTATTTCTTCTTATTTTTAAGAGGAAGCAAAAATATGATGCTTTTTTTCTGAATAATAAATTTCAGAAAGGTGTAGAACGCTTTTCATGATTAAAATGATAATTATTAGAAAGCAAAAGAATTCATCTTAAACCATTTTATTAAAACTTTTTACCCTAGAACATTCTAAGTGAATCCTCCAGAGTTTAATTTCAAATCATTGAAAAATATTTAGTTTTAAGAAATTAAAAAGGAATTTAATCACCAATTGGTAAAAGATCATCTTCCCTAACCCCGGGAATAGTTAGAAATCACATATTAACACCACTCTTTCAATATAATATTCTTAAGAAACAGCATCTGAGAGAGAAATAATGGGCAGGAGGCCAGCGTGATGATGAATTACACAAAGCAACACAGATACCCTTCGTCTTCATTGAGGGCTTCACTTTTCCAGTTTTTTTGTGACACCTGACTTGATGGCACTTAACAATAAGAGCAACAATGAGACACCCAATGAAAACTCAGCTGCCAGAATCGTAGGTAATGATGTTGTTCTTAAGTGCCATCGAATTGGTTCTGATTCATAGAGACCCTGCCTAGCATTTCAGAGGAGCATCTTGGTGGGTTTGAACCATCCATTTTGCAGTTAGCAGCCCAGGGCTTATTCTATACAGCTGCACCAAGACTCCAGAAAGGTAGATAATGAACTCATTCTGCAAATGGGAAACTAAGGCACCGATATGTGTTACCACAGGCTGCAAAAATGGTCAGAAGCCAGAAATGAGATTAGAAATAGGAAGACCTTGTTATAATTGTATTACGGCCACCTAAAACACATCAAAGGAATGACAGGCGTGAAGTTGACCCATTATCATAGACTATGTTCCGTCTTGTTCTATGACATGCAGAGTTGATGGAAGTTTGAAACTCCATTTAAAGTTGACAGCACATCTATTCTCCAGTGTCAAACTCGTAAGATCAACATGAGACATGATTATTTACAGCAGCATCTTCAGACTCAGTAATGTAGTCTGTTGAAACTATATAAAATGAATCTCAGTACATGAGATCAAGATTGGAAAATAAAAATTAAATGGCACCTAATGCAATAATGAAAATAACTTTTGTTAATTGTTTCTCTTGCTATTCCCTATAAAGCAGTGTTTATGAATACCATTAAAAATAAATGAACAAACAATTGGATGTGAAATTTAATTCATGTCTACATGATGTCTTTAAATTTTCTTTAGATGGGAATAATCATGCACATTTTACTGTGTATGAAATTGAACAAATCTCTTTCTATAGTGCAAAAATATATCCTTATCCACTAAAAATAATTTATCAAACCTCAGCTACATTAAAGCAGTAAGGACAATCCTATTATTTTAGCAAGCATTGGTATTAGCCATAATAGCAATATGAACAGAGTGGAGGTACACTTGATAAAGGATGCTTTGTAGGTGGTACAGGAAAATAGAAAACTGTATTGTACTTCAGGTTCATTAGAATGACATCCATCAGTGCCAACATCATAGTGTGGATAGCCAGTACATTAAAGACACACTAACATAGATGACACATAGCGTAATCCAGTTTATTCTTGTGATTGGTGGCTTGCGGTTACCTGTTACGTGCAGGAAGACACTGGAAGAGAGAGTGCCACTAGAGTTTTGGGCCCGAGCCACATAGAGGCCTGTGTCTGCCTCACATACCTTCGAAATGAACACTGAATGCCTTGTCTCCTTGTGACAAACCTGTAAGTGACCATCTGCAGACAATTCCTGGCCCTTCTTGTACCTGAAGCAGAGAGTCAGTATTTAGTCAGATCACTGTTCATCGGCATAATTTCCAAGTTCAAATAACCATTGCAAATAGACCCATTGCTACTGTAAAGAAAGAAAACCCAAAATCCCGTGGCCATCGAGTGGTTTCCAAATCATAGTGCCCCTATAACTCACTGCCTTTGAGTTGATTCTGACTCATAGTGACCCTATAGGACAGAAGCAGACTGTCACATTTTTCTCCTATGTAACAGCTGATGGGTTCAAACCATTGACCTTTGGGTTAGCAGGCAAATGCTTAACCACTGCATCATCAGGGATCTTGCAACTGTAATACTCTCTATAGTTAGCAGGACTTTGTAGGGATATGAAATTCAAGTACAGCTGTTTATCTTTCAAGCAGAGATTAACAGAGAAATGTTTTGATTGGCTCAGACCAGGTTTTTAAAACATTTAAGTTTTAGACAACATTTAACAGTTGGAATATTGTTTATGAAATTTTTTTTATCCAGCTTTTCTGGAAAAAGTAGACTATGTGGCCACACTGGGCCACCATTCCCTCATGGCAATTATTAACCTACAGTGGGAAATGATAGCCTCTTATTTGGCCTGCTTCAATCTTGCAGTTCTGTGGAACCGCAGCTTGTGACTCATTGGAATCCAAGCTGGAATGAGACTCATGTGCCCTGTCACATTCAGACCAAAAGAGCTCCTTGGGAGTACAAACGTACTGTTTTAGATAAGGATACGTATACATCCTATTCTGGTGAAAGGAGCTCATAAAATTTTTATGAATTAATTTAATTAGAAGAGGAAAATGCTCTTAGTTATAAAAGACATCTTTGCAATGGGACAATTATTGTTAAATGACATGTTTCTCAAAGTTTCCTGTGAAAATGAACATGTTGCTGCATCATTTTTTTGTAAAGCAACTACCGTGTTTCTTTTGTGTGTTCTAGATTCCTGTTCATCTATTTATATCCTAAGTTTTTACAAATAAGAAGTGACAACAACCCTGAATCGTTATCTACTCCTTTACCTAAGCAATGATTTTGCCTTTGAATATCCTAAGAAAATGTAGCTTATCAGTTAATTGAACAACATTTTGTGAATCAGGTAGAAGACTACTTTTTCTCAATGCTGCAATAGTCTTGGCTCTTCACTATATACTCAACAAGTTATCTATTTAGTGGACACAATAAGGAAAACCTCAGACAACATTTTTCTTTAGGGTGAACTGATATTTAATGATGAATTGAATGACTTTTATGTTCATAAATATGAAATTTTGGATTTATAAAACACATGCGATTATAAAAGCAACAAAATAAAACTAGAAGCGTAAGTGGCTATGCTATCAGGACAAGTATCATTTCTTTGAATAATTTGAGAAACACACATTTCTTATAAGCACTATAGATTGCTCACAGCGCAAGTACCATCCCTGGGCACACACAAGCCTTGAAATGATGAATTTCATGTCTACTGAAACATTCTGATAAACAAATGCTTCTTTGCTTATATTAGTTTCTAAGCATAAACTTCCTCTCACATATTTGTTACTTGGTTGTTAAATAAATCTGCTTAAGGATGAAAACTTTCTAAATGTTAACATTAGGACTGCTTCTATTGTTATCCTCATTAAGTGACTAAAAGTCTGTATTCTGCAGTTTATTTTTTCTAAAATAAGTAGGTTTAAAAAAATGTTTCCAGAGTGAAATAATGTTGCTCACAGTTCAGTTATTACAGCACCTTTTAAAATGAGTTGATTACCTGTCTCCTGTGAAAGATTTTTATTCCACCTTTCACACAGAAGGAACTTATAAAAAGAAATCTAAGTAAATCAACCAAGTACTACAAAAGTGGCTTGTATGACTCTGCTAGGAAGAGGGAAAGAAGGAAATGAATAAATGACAGGAAAGGGAAAACTTCCCATTCTAATGCTTTTTAATTGAATGTTGTTGTCAATTGTCATCAAGGCGGTTCTGGCTCATAGCAACCTTGTATAGGGGTGGCTGGTGAGTTTGAACCACTGACCTTGTGTTAGCAATCCAGTGCTTATCCTACAGCACCACACCAGGATTCCTTTAATTGAATAAGGGATGTTAAACCAAGAAAATATCATGGTTATGTAGAAAGAGACAACAGCAAAGAATTTCAATGTCCAATATTTAGAAATGTGGAGTGTTAAATCAGAGGGGAGGGGAGCAGAGAAGGGGGGAAAGTTTAACTCACTTGCAATGCCTTTGGGGTTTGTTAACTTATTCTTTTATATGGTTACTTTTATACTTAAGCATATTAGCCATGCTGGATCTAAAATGAGAGTTGGGGGTCGATGTGAGATTGAATCATGCAGAATCACAATGTCATAGAATATTAATCAGCAAGCCCTAAACGTTTCAGTTAGTGCACATAGATTTCCTCAGTGATTCAACTTGTCTGTTCTATGGTTTGTCATTATAGGCTACCCACCATGTCAGTGTAGGCTCTGGAAATCCTGTTACTTCAACTTCCAAAGTCACTGGAGAACCTTCCATGACAGTGACATTAGACAGGAGTCTGGAGATATTAGGTGGCTGGCCAGCTAGGCTGACCACTCTGTTCTTTGCTGATGTACTTTTAATCTCTTCTTGGGAAACCACTGGCATCTGATGGCCCCCGCTGGCCTCAGGGGAAGCATGCAGCCTGTCTTGGGTTTTAGTGACCGTACTATTAGCATGCATTTTCTCCCGTGTTCCTAGCAAGCTTCCCTGTGTCTGAGGGTGCCGCTGTAAAGCTCTCTCATGCACCTCACTCAGCATGCTCTCTGGATGGTTAGCACTGATTCTGCGAAAGGCAGTGCTTTTTTCCTGAAATCCCTGGAAGGTAAATGGGGCCTCAGATTTGAGTTGGGGATAAGGCCTCTCAAAATGACTTGAAAATGTTTCTCTCTTATCCTGGCATGTGTCAGCAAAAGCCACAGGTGGTGGCAGAACAGACTCCTGGGCTTCCCCTGGGCTGCTGGCTTCTGGCTGCATCCTGAGGCTGCTTAAGTGGAGGCCAAGGGAGCAGGAGCTTGGAGGAGGCTCCACCTCCATATCCGATGGTGCCAGGAGGGATTCAGGGCTTCCAGGGAGTGGAGGCAAAGAGATATCATCAGGTGAGACACACTCGTATTCCTCTCCTGAAAGCAGGTCTTCAGGCAGGAGAAGGCCCTGGACACCACCCTCTTTGGCTGAGGCCTGCTGTTTCAGGTCCTGTGGAGGCAGATTCTCTCTTGCTCCATTGATAACTACATTATCTGCCACTTGCTCCCGCCCCTTCAAAAGAGAAAAGCCAAGGTTTCCAGTTAGTCATTCATTTTTCTTTTTCCAGGTCCCAATTAGAGTACAACGCTGCTTCAGAGAAACAACTTGAGAAATGCTTCAGAAAATTAAAGCTTAGGGCCATGGAACTTGAATCCATTTGTCCAACCTGGGTACAGTCCCATCCATGACTAAGGAATCATTAAACTGACCTCAAGTCTGTGAGTGAAATGCGATAGATATTGTAAAATTTAAGAGAGAAAGACCTAATTTTCATGTGCAAAGTGAAGATTAGATGATGCTGATGTCTGAGGAGTCCCATTCGACCAGCAAACTCCGCTTTGGGCTATTTTATTTGGCTACACTTACAGTCTATGTAAACACACAGTCCCAAATGCCAGAAACCTCCTTGTTAGGGGACCTTCCCAGAATAACTCCACAGTTCTCTCAAAAAAAAAAACTATTCTCAATGACTGGTTTTATTTTCTTAAACGTTCTTAGTTCTATTTTTAATTTGGAATTTTTTTTACTGAGTACCTACTAGACACTAGAAGATAAAACGGTGAGTAAAAATAGGTACAGTCTGTGCCCTCGTTGAAATAATAACTTAATGGGGGCTGGGGGGAGGTAGATAATTAAACAATCACATGTTACGGTCTTTCTTAAGAGACCACATGAAGATACAATCGAAGAATAACTGCCACTAATTTTTCTGACCCATGTTAGGAGCCATGGATAACAGTATGTCTCCTTGCACTTAGAAGTAGTCTTCCCCACTTATCTATGGCAATCTCTGCATTAAGAAGGGAAGAAACACTGGTGGTGGAGTGAGTTAAGCATTAGACATAACCACAAGGTCAGTGGTTCAAACCTACTAGCTGCCAAGGGAGGAAGGTGAAGCTATCTGCTTCCGTGAAGATTTACAGTCTCTAAAACCATATGGAGCAGTTGTACTCTGTCTTACAGGGTCACTGAGAGTCAGAATCAACTCAGGGCATTGTGTTTGGCTTAAGAAAGGGTTTCATCTATCCCCACCTGCCTGTGCAATATTTTTTCCTTTCTTCTCCTTTCCTTCGCCCTTCAGGTACTTTTTACCTACTTAGCCAACACTAGTTTTTGTCCTGTAGTTCATGTACTTAAGAAATATTTTACATTGACTTTGATTTCTTTGTTTGTTTTTAGCCCATAGTCTTTCTCATGATACATAAGTAGGTTTAGAGTAAATAAATGTGTTTTTAGCTTGAAGAGCAGAAGCAAAAACAAAATAATGTTCCTTTTCCTCTCTCACAGATGATTTTCCCCTAGACACAGTTAGCCTAGCTTAGAGAAAGCAGTTTCCTTCAAACATTTAGACATTAAGTTTTGGGACTAAATATCAGAAGTTCTTAAAATCTCATTTAAAAAGCAAAACAAAACCAAAAAAAAGAAAAGAAAAGTAAAACCACAAAAACAAACTTTAAGTAAACATAATTCCCGTAGGGAAGGCCCTTCCTTCCTTTGGTTGTCTCAACACAGTTTAGCATTGTCTCGTTCCATCTCTTTCTGAAAGCCAAATGTTTATTCTCCTTTGCTACATGGACTTTGAGCCATTATTCTGTTTAGTCTAAGAATCTCCTTTACATTATTTCTGGCAGTCTCTGTTTGCACTCTTTGCCTGAAAGGGTGTTTTATTTGAGAAGAATTTTATTCTTGTATCATTTACTTGTCTTATATTTAGCAAAGATCTGTCTCCCTGAAATTTCCATGAATGGATCTTAATCAGCCACCTAGAATGACAGTATGTCCAACTGCTTTCTGATGTAACTTTTTTTAACAACTTGTATCAGAAGAATCTATCCTATATATTGAGTCTTACTCAATGTTCCCAAGTCCTCTTCAGCTTTGACTCTTGAAACATTCACCATGATGATCACCTCCTAGGAGGGCCAACACCTACTGGGCCATAAACTCATTCATAGGCTAGAAGGAGAGGGACATTGATTGATCAGAAGGCCATCTGTGGGGGAATTCCTTGATGACTTCTAAAGGTAACCTAGGATTCTTCAAGGAAGAAATAATATTTGTCTGAAAATTTATAACAAACTTATGATAGAACCCTGAATAAAAATCCAGGTCCTCTCCATGTTTCTTACTCTTCACTGTAGAGGATCTAAAATTTAGATGGACCCAAAATGGTGGGTTTTTAAAAAGGAATCAGACAAGCTCAAATCAGTCCCTCAAAAGACAGACCCTTTCTTCTGGTCCGCCGCCCAGCAAATGGATACATTCAGGTTGGCTCTAGGACATGGAAAGGCCCTATCGAAGACAGCTGTAGTTGTCTAGCTATGCAATCAAATGCCTTGATGGGAAAGGTCATCTAAATCAGAAGTGATGTTTTAGAAAATCCACCAGAGCAGTCCATAAGCCCAGTCACTCAGCCCAGCATTTACTGGTTACTCATTCCGGTCTCCTGTGTCTGACTTTCAGTTAGTGCCAAATTCAGGAAGGGAATCCAAGGATATTTTTTTTTTTCACTCCTTACATTTCTTAAAATTCAGAAAGTCCCTAAGTCAAAAAGTCCCTAATTCAAAAATAATACTAACAGAGTTCTAAGAGAGAAGCAATTTTCTCAAATCTTCTTTTGGAAACATTTCAAATTATTAATGCTCTCTACCTCCCAAATATGTTTGTTTACAGAATTAATAAACTTTTCATTTGGGAAATAGATCTACAAGATATATTTTATTGGGGAAATAATGTTAAGATATTGACTGTCTTTTGAATCGTGGTTTCCTGGGCATACCATTATAAAATAGACACATGAGGGGGAGAGAAAGGAATAGCCAGAAATATTACCATAGAAAGCTTGTAAGTCCATCTTCTGCCTATAACTGATTGGAATACCTAAAATGGGCTACAATGTGCCCAGTGAAGGAGGCTTCCTG